TAATTTGAACTGTTCAATGGTGCGGTCATGTCCTAAGTCACAGAATAGGCAAATATATACATATTTCATTGGTCGGTTTGATTATAAGTAGATGACAAATTATTTAAACGCACGATGGACAAAAGTAAGAGATGCTTTCGTTATTCTTATCGATAGGCGACATGTTTAGACACACATGGTGATACCATTTGCGACAACTGTCACAACTGATCATGTTTTGATCGTCTTTTTTGGGATTGATGCACTCGTCCAGAGCGCACTTCAAAAACGATGTACCGTGTGCCGAGCTGACGGCTATTTGTAGGTACAAAAGCGTACAGCTGAAGGACCCTGGAGGCGTTCTACTCACGACAACTTTGCCGTTGCCTTTAAAAGATGCACTTTTCGGTTTGATCATTCCTCTTCGTGGTCGAATACTTGATCTATAGCATTCTCCAGATCTTTTCTAATTCTGTTTCTGCATCGTTCAGTGTCCACCCGTAGATTTCCTCTCCCACTGCAAATGATTCTGCCGTATTCGCAGACTGTACACACCGCAGTCGTCACTATTACATTGGCGAGGCAAGTCATCAGGTTTATAGCCTCTCCAGAAGTTAAAGTCGAATCTGCGGTGGGAATGAGCCTCATGTAATCCAGCTAAAAACAATGCCATTTGTTGTATGGGCTTCTCAGACCTGGTTTGCAAACTGTCTAGCAACAAGATGAACCGCTTAATTAATTCGACAACCAAGAGCATCCAATGTTCATGTTTCATGATGGGTATGAGCCAAATGTCGTACTTTAGGAGGCGGAGGTTTACTACTCTCTGAAGCATGGTCTTGTAGTAAACGTCTCGAAAAATGTATTATTTCATTTTGTCATGAATTATAAAATAAGGCATGTTCAGTACAATTATAAATGTACCTAGTTAGCCTGCACATACGTCTGATGACAATATTAAAATAAAATAGAATTTCATAATTCGAAAAAGATAAACAATGTTTGTCAAATAATAATCTAGACTTTCCCCAAAGTGCAACACTGAACCGAAATGCGGATCGTAACCGATTTATTCACTTGGCATTACTTTGTTACTTAGAGCACATTAAACTGGGGTAAGAATCTAATAATAAGATTTGTTTATTTTTGTATCCTCTTTGTGTTGTGAGGTGTTGCTATTGTAATGACAAATATGTAACTATTGTCTCATATCAAAACAAGATCTGCCATGTGGCAGCTGTGTGAGTAAAACCTCAAGTTGATAAGAAATATTCTTGTGAGATATAAAATGTAATAATCATGTTGTCAGCTGCTACGACCTATGATATGTATGTGTTATGTGTACTGATTTATGTAACATTGGCAGGTATTTGGTCTGAGCTACTCTTCTAGTGGCATCCCTCAAATGTCAAGATCTAAGAAAGAAACTTGAAAAGCATCTCTCATTTTTCTAAGTAAATTTTCGAAAATTCGATACCAACTTTTTATGTTTTCTGGACGTTTCAGAAGATTCTCTATCGATTAGTTTGATCGAGAAATGAACTTTTCTGTGACCCGAATATGTTGGTGCGACGAAATTTTATATATATAAAAATTTCAGTAAATTTCAGTAAATATAAAAATTTTATATCTGAAATTAAAAGTTTTCTCGACGTTTCAGATGATTTGCAGCCTTGTATTTTTTTGAACCTGGTCCGCCGGACCGGTCCGGGTCCGGGTTTTAGTCACTCGGTCCGGGTCCGGCGGACCGGTCCGGGTCCGGGTTTTAGTCAGTACCGCAAAGTCACTCGGTCCGGGTCCGGCGGACCGGTCCGGGTCCGGGTTTTAGTCAGTACCTTTGAACTGTAATCAGGCTAAACCAACAAACAACGTCAACGGACTCACTGTCGGACAGTCGGACTGCGACCAATCAGCCCAACTCATCTAGGATAGGAGGAACCGCATTAAACCTGCCGTGCACCACCAAACCGCGTATTGAATATGAGTTACGGCTCCGAAAATCGTTGAATTATGTAATTTTACGTTCACTGCATGTGAGAGGTTAGATTCCAGAATAATCAGATAGCATAGTTCTATTTCAAATTATATCTTCCCTCAAAAAGTGGCGGTTCGACTGTAGGCTGATGCAATGCACGGGAGTGTCTAATTCAATTGATCTACTTCAATAGATGAGATCTTTCTGGTCGTTAGCAGCTGACCATGATTCATTTAGTGAATGATACAGTCCATAAGTGTTAAAGGGAATATAGGACGTTCCTGAAGTACATTAAAAGCAACGACACTTCAGTGACTTCAGAGTCAGGCCTTTGCAAGTTGCAACGGCCATCAGCCACGCATCACATAGCCTATTCATTTGTTAGTAAGAAGGAGGGAGAAAGGGAAAATAAACAGCAAAGAGGGTGTGAAAGTTCGTGTTAGGGGTAAGATGAGAGCTACGTACCTAGGTGAAAAGGAAACAAAGAGGAAATTCATATTGTTTATTATTGCTATATCTCAGTTTTTGCCCTGTGTAATTTTACATTTAGGTTAGTACCTATGTTAGTTATGTGGCAGTAGCTATAAGCTAGTTCTCCATCATAAATTTCCATTCCAAATCACTGCAAATTTTTAATTATTTCTCAGCATTCCTTATCTTTATAGTTATCATTAATATTATTATTTTTTCTTCTTCAATCAGTTGAAAGCATAGTGACAAACTGACAACTGCCAAACCTGGCAAACCACAGATTTTTTAGAATCAGTTACTAATTTATAATTTTAAATTTCTCTGCATCTATTCAAGATTTGAACAAATTTATTGTGTATAATATTTATAATAATAATAATGCTGATATCTATGATACTTTACTAGCCTACTTATAGGACTTGAAAATAAACTAGATGAAGAGTCTAAAAAGGCTCTGCTCTTGCTCTGCCACTCACACTGGACTGACTGCCCTTCAACACAACCTGAACCGCTGAACCTGCCTCCTCTCAGGCCTCTCCATCACTGACCATGTCCATGGTGCAATTCCATAGTTAATATTAAAGTACATGGTAAATTAAGATTTTGGATCAATCAATTCTCCTTTTACAGACTGGTCTACACTCCACACTCTGACACTCCCAGGTTGGGAAAAGTCCTATTTTTTCTGAAATATTGCAGCTCTAATAATATTATATAATTTCTGTTGGTATGAAATGTCACAGCTCCAATGTCATGTATTTTTGTTTGATTGAAATAAAATTGTTTCATGAAATTTTAAACTTCCTCAGTTCCACATTACTTGAAGTTCAAAGCTGCCACCAAAATATCCTGCAGAACATAATAACAACAAGTCAACCCAAAATGTTTCCTTGAAGATTGCTTAGTTGTGGTCACATCAGAGCTGTCAGCAGGTCAGACCGCATTATCACATGTTGAGCTGCCACTTAAGTGAAGACAAATGTTAGTGTTGCTATGTGATCAGACTTTTTAGGGCAAAATTAGATATTTGGGATAACACAAGCATGCGGCTTTGTAAATAAGTTTGTGGCTTGTAAAGGGTTTTCATGGCTGAGATATGGGATTCACGGCTTGAAGAAATGGAATTAAAGGCTTGATAAATGGAATTCGTGGCTCAAAGAAATGGAATTCATGGCTCAAAGAAATGGAATCATGGCTGTCAAACCCATAAAACCACAGCTTGAAAAAAATCCAGTTGCAGCTTGCCACATAGATATATTCCATGCCTGCACACTCTACAGCACTGATATCTGACAGACTGACAGCAGTAGCACACAGCACACTAGTGGGAGACTAGCCCCACTCCCCCACCTCCTGCAAAACAGAACATGCATACTAAATAAATAAAAGACAGCATTAGCAAGGCGCAACAACAGCAGTTTAACTGGTTAGAAATTTGAAGTTATTTCAAAATTAAAGGACATATTGAATTTAAAATTAGGTTTTAAGCCATTAAATGCCTAAAAAAATATGAAGAATTTATATTTCTGCTTGGATTTTAAAGCTGTTAACATTGAGAAATTCTAAAGTATCTCCTTTATAAGTTTATCGTAAATACTTATTATATAAATTATAATCTGGTTATATAGGTCACTCAAGTCAAAAGTCAAAACTGCTTTCAGAACCAATCTGTCAACTTGATTTGATCATATGTATGGTTTATGATGTAGTACATAAGTCACTTGACATTGATTGCTAATGTAAAGTTTTGAATACACATTTATGCTACTAATTTGTCACAAAAGAATGAAAAGATGTTTCCCTATATTTCCATGCTTTCTTACAATTGCAATTCATTACCTGAAATGGGAATTTTTAAGTAAAACACAAAGCTCATGTCACATAGCTATAGAATCAAATTAATTTGCTATAAGTTTATTTGATAATAAACAACAATTACAAGTAATAATTATATAATTTTATAAAATTTATTAAGACTTGAGGCACATTTTAAGTCTATAATGTCCCACAAAACACTTCTAATCTAAAAGTACTTGCTCTATAAGTTATTGTGTGTCATAAAGTATTATGGCAAGATCATGATGGTGTCACTGTCACACGCTAGAATATTTGACCAGAGCCATGACCCAGGAGATCACATTTAAAAGTAGAATTTTTCCCATCTCGGTTCTATAATTTTAGAACCTCAATATTTCTTGTTTTTTCCTATTTATGTATTATTATTATTATTATTATTATGGAAAATGAATCATTCTTTTATATTTTTGAAAAATTCATTTTCAAATGTTGAATATACTGCTAGTATATATTATTTTCCTAAATGTAGGTATATGTTGACCATCAGTGTTTTTAACTGAATCTATGGATTTCTTTGGATATTGTTGTGAATACTTATTAATTGACATATTTCAATTTTCTAGGAATAGGAGATACAAATATTGTATTAGGGGAGTTTTAATGAATGAATTTTTGTCAAGTAGATGGCTGGTCTGACCAAACATTGGTGCGCATCCCAATTTCAGTTTTCTTGCTGACCTTTTTCTAATACTTTGTTCATAATATAATAAATTGGTAATCTCTTCTTCATGTTCTTGTAGAGATAAGTTCTCATTAATTTTTATAATGAATTTAGTAGCCAACCCCTCATGGTGTTCTCAAACTGCTGAGCTTTTGTTCCAAGAAGTACTAGCCAGCAATGTAACTTTCAGTAATGTTCTCTTGGCCCATAGCCAAGAAGCCATAGCCATACCCAGAGTTCTTGGTCAAAAAGCTACTAATTATATTGAATTTGAAAAACTTAACCAGTCATTCATGGAGCTTTTTATGAATGAAAGAATAAATGAAAGTGATGACAATACAGATCTCATCTTGCAACTACCAGATGGAAAACTACATGTTCACAAAACAATTTTTTGTAAAGTGTCATCATACTTCAAGTAAGTTATCTACCTATATTGAAATACCATTACTTCTACCAAAATAACATAATCAGCAATTCTTTGTAGATCTAAATTTTTATTCCCTCCTTATTTATCCAAAGTTAAGCTTAACCCTTATATGTTCATGATAAAATTGAGCTTAATTATTGAAATAGTAGATGTTATCTTGTTTGAATTGATCTAGGATTCTCTTATTAGTAATTTCAAATAAATATGTCACTGTATGAGTTTTCTGAAGAAATGTTACCTCCTGTTCTATTTGTTACTTGTTTATTATATAAATAATGTTTATATGTTTATATATGTTTATTATATATATATGTTTATTATATATATTATATATATATCTTATATATTATTATATAAGAATCGGCGACAGGCCTATCCAGGCCTAATTATTTAATGCCGAAGATACTATACTATACTATACCTACTATTTGTTTTTATAGAAAATGTAATTATATTTACACAGGTCCATGCTTGGGCACAGCTGTAAAGAGCAGTGTAGCAATGTAGTGAATCTGAAGGATGTGGACCTCTTACCCATGATGCTCACGGTGCAATATATATACATTGGCTCAGCATGCCTCACTGATGAGACGGTATTGGACGTAATGGCCCTGGCTGATTACTTTAATATTCCATCTCTGTTCAGGCTATGCTCTTACTATGCTCAGGTAAGATCAGTTAACTTTTTTATTTCATTGTCATTTGGACTCTTTGATATATGTAGCTAGTTGTTAAATAAAAAATATAATAAGATACAGTAAAATTACAGGTGCTTGTTTTTTTTGAGAGCTTGTGAATTACTAAATGCTCTTAACTATACCATATACATTCGTTTATATTACAGCTGTGCAATAAAAAAAATTTCTTTTAAGTAAAGTGCTGTCATCAGAAAGTATACTTCTACATTTTGGACACTTGATTGCATTCTTTAAATTAAATTCCATTAAATTATCCAATTCTTCACAGCGCAACATATGTGCCAGGAGCTGTGTGTCAGTGCACACTGCTGCAGTGTCTTACAATGACCGCGATCTTGCTCGGTATGCAATGTCATATGCTGCAAGACATGCCCACCTACTGCTGGCTGACGTAGACAATTGTTTACTACACGCACCACCTGCCTGCCTACAACAATTGTTCAGCCACCCTCTCTTAATAAGAGATGAACGTGTGTCACATTTTAAAATTATTGAGGTGCACCCATGTGCAGGTTTAAGTTTTGTGTATTACTAGAATAATAGTAATTTTGAAGTACTAAATGTTGTAGTCAAAGCAGTTGAAAGACATACAATTTTTTTTTGTTGTCTGTAGATTTTGGCCTTGCTTTATTTATACAATGATGTTGATAAATTTTATTTTAATATCACTCATAATAATTATTATGGTACGTACTCATGAAGTTAGTCACTAAATTTTTTTCACAGGCGGTGAAGGCATGGGCTGATCATGATCCATCGGTGAGGTACAGTTACATCACCACGATCCTGTCAGTGCCAGAACTCTGCTGCCTTCTGCATCATCATCCAAGATTAGCTGGAGTCCTCACGCTCCATCCAGACTCTAACCTCCCACTGAACTCCTTCCACTCTTTTGATAATGCAAGGCTACAGCAAGAAATTGAAACTATTGAGGTGAATCAACATAATGTCTATACTTTTATACTGAAATAGTATTTTAAGATGCTTGCAAGTAGTAAATAAATCAGATTATGTATTTTGTGAATAAATTATTAATAAAAAAGTTTATATAACCATTATAAAATATCATAATGTTATTTTAAATGTGTTTTAATTCATTCCATGATTCATTTCATGTCCTTGGTGTCATCTTAATTTCGAATTTGATGGGCATAACTTGTAGATATTTTATTTCAGGTGTTGTTTGTGGTGGGTGGAGAAGAGTGTGGCCGCCTCTGCAAGTCTGTTGAATGTTACAACACCGCCAACCCCAAATCCCCTAGGGATAATAAATGGAGTTTCATGTATTCTATATGCGATAGAGAAAATAGCCTACCGCAGAGAAATGTAGAGTGCGAGTTAGCCAAGTTGAGATTTTATTCCCCAATTTCCTTGGAAACTGTTAACAAAATGGAGAAAAATACAAAATCTAGCCCAGACTGCCATTCCCTCAACATGATAAATTCAACATGGTTTCACGAGCCTGAGAACATCAATGTGCTTGTGGATTCTGAACCTAAATCTTTCAATGTTAAAGACCCTGACTTATCTAAGCTTCTTGATAGCTCATATAACAGCTATGTTGGACTTTTACGAGACATGGCATCAAGCAAGCGACCTGCCTCTAGGTTGTCCTCTAGACATGTTGTTAAGCGAACCATTGCTACTATTGAAGCTCGGCAGTATGCGGCTGTGGTAACCTTGGAGGCATCAAACACAATGGTTGTCATAGGTCAGTTGCTCATACTTACTCCACAAGCTTGTATTAAACCATTAATCATGATTTTTGATAGAATTTAATTGCACACCCATGCCTTTCCCATGTTTGTAGTACAAGTTTTTTTTTCATATTTATTGAGGCAAATGCTCCCAGTCAAGTGAATGTTCTTTACAGTTCAGTTTCCTCTAAAGTACATTTGCCAAAGCTTTATTTTTCATAGATTGATAGGATGTAGAACTGTGAATCTATTCTAACAATCAAATTTGTATTTTTGTTATTCTGAACCTCTTTACTTTACATATCTAAAAAAGCCTTCAGTTTCCAACTCAATATGAGAACTTCAATGGTAAAAACTTCTTTGACTTTTAAATTACTGTTTTAATCAGTAAAATGGTGTGAGTTGTATACGGTCATACAACGATGTATTAATTGGCAGATGGCTTTGATACTATCAATGAAATATTGAGAGGCAGGTGGATGTGATATGATATTTTATCGAATGGTAAGCTCATTATTTTGATATAATCATGTTTACGAAGTATTAAGAGGCAGGTGGTTATGATATGATATTTTATCGAATGGTGAGCTCATTGTTTTGATATAATGATATTTACGAAGTATTAAGAGGCAGGTGGTTATGATATGGCATTTTATCGAATGGTGAGCTCATTGTTTTGATACAATCATGTTATGAAGTACCTATTAAGAGGCAGGTGGTTTGCATACTAACAAAATATCATATCCTCTAATAAAGTATCGATGTGCAGGTGGTCTTGATGACTGCAGATCTGCATCAGCATGTGTGTCTCAGTTCTGGCCAGATGATAACAGCTGGTCCCAGCTGCCGCTGCTGCCCTCTGCGCTCTACGGATGCAGCGCTGCCGTCATCAATGATGACATATACTGCGCTGGCGGGGCGAACTGTATTGGATTCTCCAATAGTTTCTCAGTGAGGATTCTTTTCATTGCTTAATTCGAGATTATATACCATATTCACCGTATATCCCTTTTCACATTTAGTCTTTTATTACGTTCATTGTTATCCATAATTCTAAACTGGGGTGTATTTAAAGAAATAAACTGAATTGGAAAGGATGATACATAATGTATTTTAATTTTATGTACTCGACAACAAAATTATTTTAACCCATGGACCCTCTTGGCACTGCTGATCCAAGTAAACAAGGAATTAATGGAAATTATAAGTAATTATTCTAGATCTAGGACATTTATAGGCTTTCTCATTATTCTGTTGCAGGCATTTGTTATGTTATGAATGTTTTTTTTTCAATTTGTCTTTCTTGTCTTGTACAAGTATTTCTACTGCTGGCTATTACGGTATTGTATTTTAATTTAATAAGTATTTGAAACCAAACTTAATTATTTATTAATTTTCTCATCTTGGGGGGATCCTGTGATGTGTTTCTGTGATCATCAGAAATCCTATCGGATTTTGCGTTCCTAGGGGGATTGTTCCTGAGTGCCCCACTGCTGAGCTCGCGGTGTCTGACTGCAGGTCTCAGTTGTGGGGTTACGTTATTATGTAGGTAGGATACCTTACATTAAGTTATTATGTAGGTAGGATTCCTTACATTAAGTTATTATGTAGGTAGGATTCCTTGCATTTCCCTTCTCTGTCTCTCTCGTGCGGGCGGCCGACGTCCTGTGTAAGCGACCTCTTGTTCGAGTGTCTTAGTTTCTGTTGCTCTTCACCTGTCCCTCCTTGTCACTTCGTCTATTTGAGATGCTAACGCTGCTTCTTTCGAGCCAGCTTTCAGCGGGCAAGATTATTGAGACTTTCCGCCCCCTGTGGGTGATCAACGATCTTTGATATGAGAAACTTTTGATTATTGAGACTTTCGTCAGTAAACATCAATAGCAATAATTATTTCTTTGCTCCTCAAATTTCCCCTGTTCAATTGATTTAATTGTTGTCTCCAAATAATGCATCAAATTGGACATGAATAGTGATTTTCACCTATTATTTTGCGATGCAAAGCGCTTTATAATGAGTGACATTGGTCATAATTTTATAACATTTGTTCAGAATTATTATGTGTCGGACAGCGACTGCCCTATAACAGTGCCTCCTGGGAGGTGCTGCCTCCCGTGCCCCTGGTGAAAGGCCCGTGCTATGCTGCGGCCGCCGTAATTAACGGCTGCTTCGTCCTGTTGGGTGGCCTCGTCCGCAGTGGCGCCCTCACCTCCTTCAGCAGCTCCTGCTGGCGATATGACCCTGCCACACGGCGATGGAGAAGAATGGGTGGGTAATACTTTGTTTCAATCGCTAAGTTTGTGACTCCAAACATAATAATTACAACTCATGATAATCGAAATTTGTTCACATTATAAATGTAAAATGTGTTGACAGCCAGGTGGTTTAAGCACGATCATAACATGAAATTTTTCTGCATCATGCTGCGCTGGGGCACAATAGGTGGTTCAAATTCCATGTAAATTCCAGTTTGTTACTCCAATGATAGCTGTTATTAAATAACTAATAATGGTTATTGCCCGTATTATGTTAAATATTGTGACAGGCAGGTGATTTAGATTCGATCATACAATGAAACATTTAATAATTTCAAGCACATATTACGATAGTAAGGGTGCAAGTAACCAAATAGTCTATGTATGTGTATAAATAGGCACAGTTTGTATATGGTAATAAAAGTGCGCAACATACAACCATAGTAAAGTCTATGTATAGTCTATGTACGTGTACAAATAGGCACCGTTTATATAGCTATTAAAGCACAGCACTTAGCAATAACATCTCTATTAGCAATAACATAGTCCAGCAGCGTAACTGGTTGATTTACGGTACTTGGTGGGAACGATGATCCCTTATGATACTTTGTGTTATAGTTTATAGTGTGTTGTATATAACACCTCATCCCCATGTGCTCATTTACAGCAAGTTTGCCTGTGCGCTGCGCGTATCACTGCGCGGCTGTGCTTGGTCAGCAGCTCTACGTTATGGGCGGCTACGATGGCACCCGGTGGCTGAACAGTGTCCATCGCTACAACCAACATACGGACTCCTGGACCCAGGGTGAGTTGCTTCAGTACGAAGGTTTTTGTGATAAGTTTGTGCCCACTATTGCTGGATAATGGCGAGCACCATTGCAGGGTCATGGTTAGCTATCACAACATGCACCATTCAACTTTATCATTTTCGCCTCATATATTTTGACCTAATGTCCGCCAATAATTGCCCCAGGATTTCCTTATCTGTATTGTTATTAAACGATACAATGCACTAATGGTACTTATATTATCGCCATTAATAATTATGCTTAGTTAGTATGTGGTACATCCGCGTACCTATAACATCACCATTGATAATGATGTTCACCAATATCCTGAGTGTGGTATGCATATTAGCATTATAATGAAGCTTAATTAGTGATTAATACGAACACTTTTGGGTACTTATAAGATCACCATTGATAATGAAGCGTAGCAATAAATCTGCCGTCCGTTGAAAAGATTTGATCAAAAGGCCAGTCTAGTCAAGAAAAGTACAATAATCGGCGACCGGCCTATCCAGGCCTATTCTTCAGCCGAAGATACTATACTACTATGCTATACTAATAATGGTGTGTGGTGTGCAGTGCAAGGGATGCTGACGCCACGCAGCAGCTTCGCGGTGAGCGTGTCGGAGGGCAGTATGCACGTCATGGGAGGCTTCAACGGCCACCGTCCTACCAACGAGGTGCCCCCACGGGCTGCTTATTTATTTATATTTTAGTGTAAAGTACAGCCAATTGCATTCTCTGGACTGTAATCGAATACAAGAACAAATAATGCCATCCTAAATTCAAATAAGTACGATTCATTATTATGTACATTACAGATTACGTAATGTACGTAGATAAGTACGATTATATTAGGTACAGATTCATCCGAGTACGTACTCGGATGAATCTGTACCTAATAATATACTAATATATATTGCACTTTTCCCTCTATTCAACTTAACAACTTACGGACTAATACTGATATTTTCCCTCAATTAAAATTAGCTATAATTTACGTACTAATAAAGTAATATAAAAATATTTGCAGCCTCATGCTTTTCAGCCTTCACTTTTCATTATGATTAACCGGAAGCTAATTTTTTTTTGATATTTGAGTTTATTTCGATGGTTCGATGTCATTCAAAGTTCAGGGTTTGGTGCATGAACGAGGTTTGCTCGTAATAACGATCGAAAACTGAACGAACTGTTCTAAATTTTTTCTAATGACCTCATTTCATTGTTCAATTCCAGTGATATTATTCCAATTCTTCAGTCCAATATTTTGAACTGATGATATAGCTAGCATGCGAAACTTTTCCACTGAAGATATCTATGATGAATTTACTTTTTAAGTTTCCTTTTCTTGTAAATTATCGGTGAACTTGCAATTGAAGCTCACTAATAATATAGTTTGTAATTTTTCCTTGTTTGTAGCGTAACAAGAATGATGTCCAATGACTTCATAGCGTTTTTTAAGTGTCCCGATACTGGACAGCCCCGCGGTTAAGTGTCCCGATACTGGACAGCCCCGCGGTCAAATGTCTCGATACTGGACAGCCCCGCGGTTAAGTGTCTCGATACTGGACAGCCCCGCGGTCAAGTGTCCCGATACTGGACAGCCCCGCGGCCAAGTGTCCCGATACTGGACAGCCCCGCGGTCAAGTGTCCCGATACTGGACAGCCCCGCGGTCAAGTGTCCCGATACTGGACAGCCCCGCGGTCAAGTGTTCCGATACTGGACAGCCCCGTGATTAAGTGTCCCGATACTGGACAGCCCCGCGGTTAAGTGTCCTGATACTGGACAGCCCCGCGGTTTGCCTGGGTACCCATCGAAATATCACAGTGGTAATCTCGTCGAGCGATAAATTTAGGAACCAAAATTTTCTCTTAACGACTTAGCGGTGAGACACGATCAATGTTCGAGACTCATTGTAATTAATAGTTAGCGTTAAGCTTGATATTAATTAAAGTGTGTTTTCAGGTGGAGGTTTTCAGACTGGGCTCGGAAAGCTGGCACACGCGTCCCAGCATGCAGGTGCCCAGGGTGGGCGCTGGGGCGGCCACGCTACGTCTCTCGTGCTGGGGCAAGAGGGATGACGACGCTGAAGAACACGTCGATCTCACCTGAAATTCTCTTATTAACAATACATGTTTTTTATTGTTACTTGTGTCGCTTAATTTTCGTATATTAACCCGAGTGATGTCTTAGTTTTTAAAGAAAGAATTTTATTATTTTGTTGCTTATGCTGTCTTAAGTATGATTAACTTGATCGTTACATAATGCTGAACTGAAATTGATCAATTATTTGACGAAGAAAATTGATTCTTAAATGTAAAACGAAACCCCAGTACGTTCTTAATTTATTCGTGGTACAGATTATTGGCTATTAATGTACACGTTTTCTACCGTGTTGTAATCTTCACATCGAGGAACGAGCATTTCTCGTTCTCACTAACGTTTTAATCATTACTTCGTTTATGATATGTTTTATGTATAAGGTTTATGTGTTGCGGATATTATACCACCTCTCTAGCATTATACATATTTTATTTTTCTGCGAGAATTATCAAATTTATTGATATCCATTCGTGTCCGTGCTTTATTTGAATTTCAATTGTTCTTTTGTTCCTAATTCTTTTTGCGATGTTGGTCAAATTTTTATATGTTAAGTCGTCTAGTGGTTAATTTTACCCTTCCTGAAAATATATTAAAAGAAATTGTAAAATTTTGTTTCTTTTCCACAAAAGTGAGAAACGATTAGTGTAATATACTATATAGATCATTATTGAAAAGAATGCTTATGTATTCAGAACCTGACAAAACTCGAAATAATCGAGATATCCTAGTTCTAGTTTGAACTGAACAAGATACAAACTTTTCCGGCTGGGGGCATGAAATCCGAGATACAAAAGATACACACCAAAATTAGGAGGGCATAAAATATCTCTAAAACTAATGAACGCAGACCAATAATTCTACGCACATGCATGCATTAGAACCTAAAGGTGATGTTAAAGTCGTGATCACTTCTTCGATTTCGCTTTCCTTTGCAACGCATTGAACTATACTCTAAATCCAATATGGAAACGTAATTTGTATGAGGTATTATCACTGTATTGTAATTCACTGAAGTTTTGTTTGAAGTATATTTTATGTTGTCTGAATCTTGAAAACCAACCGAAAGCGTCTGCGAGGTTTCAATTATGGAAACGTAAGCAAAAGTTTATACGTATTTTATATATCGTCATGTATCTGAAACGCCAAGTTAGGTTTAATATATCAATTTATATTATTTGAAGCAAATCGAAGAGTTAGAAAATTGATTTATTCTGTTAATATGTATCAAGGGTCTTGTCAATTAAATATATTTCGGTCGTGCGGAATCCAGCGGAGGAAAAGCCGGAACTAATATTTATCAACACGAGTGATGGACTGTTTTTTGTTACCAGTCGTAGTTGGAATGTCGGACAGTCAGAGTATTTGTGCTGTCGTCAAATGTCAGTGATTTATTAACAATTATTACCAAGAGTCTGCAATTTGCACTAGGCAGAAACTACTTCAATTAAAACATAATGATAATAATTGCAACTACAAAGCTGTTTTGACTTTTGAGCGCTCTTGAACAGGTTGTAATCCAGTTTTGTTTGAAACAAATTAACTTTTCAATTGAAGGCCAGCAACATAAATGTTGTGAAGAATTAAGTAGCCTTGACATTAGTTGAATTACTTGAATATTGGATATGATATGCTAAGCCACCAAGGCGAGTTGGAGTGGGAGAAGTGCAGTGCTGCCATTATTGATTAGTGCCATAGGCAGAGTGGAAATCTAAGATTAGAGGTTCACTTAAAAAAAAGCGTTCCGCCTTGAAAAAAAAAACGTTCCAGGCAAGTGGCAACTAGAAACAGGTTTGCAGGTCGTCAGAAATCGGCCTCGGCATGAACGTTACGTCAGGCAACACAGAGAAAATCCCAATATTGTTAATTGTGCACGTCACTCACGGATAAGCAAGAGGAATCTACTGAAAGACAAGTTGTGCTCAGTAGAAGTTACAAGGTCGCTACTGACACCAGTAGAAACTCATCACTCACAGACCACAGTCACCACTCACCGATGCGCAAGGAATATCTTGGGAAGGCTGCTTAAGCTTTGCGCCCCACATGAACGTTTCCGAGGTCGCCGGTAGAGAAGAGCGTTGATTGGATTCTTGTTACTGTGATGATGCAAGCAGTTTTTTTTAAAGAAACAGCTGTGGCATCTTGCAGAGACTCATCAGTGATGATGATGGAGTGAAAGTGGAAGTGTGCTGGACGTTCCAGATTTTTGGGTCCTGCTTTCCAATTTGCTATGTTTACCAGTTAATATATTACCCCTCTGGATTTCCACACTGGCTGGACGTTCCAGATTTTTGGGTCCTGCTTTCCAATTTGCTATGTTTACCAGTTAATATATTACCCCTCTGGATTTCCACACTGGCCATAGGTCCTGCTGCTGCAAATTAATTGTGCACTGAGACTGATAGTTTGATTTTAGGCATGGCATTTATATCTACACTTGTTGTAGCATCTTTAGTCAGTTGTGCTAGTTACATTGCATCTCCAGTAAAGAACATATTGGTAAGTATTCAATATTTTTGATAATTTTCTTGAAAAGTATTTGTTGAAATCATATTTCATACCTAATTAAAAAGTTAGAAAGAATGCACTGCTGAATGCCAATGACCAATGTGAAACATTGGAGAGATATTTTTATAAATTGTAGGCTTAAACTATAGTTTTTCTGGCAATTCTTCTTAAATTATGCCAAAGAATATGGCAATTTTCTTATTTTCATTTTTCTATGGATAAATTTGGTAAAGACCATAAAAACCCTATCTGAAAAATTGGGCTTAAGCCACCTTAAAATAGGTAAAAAATGCCTATGAATCTAGCCAATTTTATCTGCTCCTTTAGTCTTTTTTCAATTTCTTCAGTAAAAAATAAGCAAGAAGCTTATTTCCACCCTTGATTGATAGCATTTAACCCTTGTTTGATAGCATTTAACTTTATTTAACTTTTTAGCGCATTTTCTCGTTTATATAAAAAGGTGCTATTGTGCTAGCTATTTCCAGGGTGCATACATGAAAGTCATGAAATTCAATTTTTCATTTTCCAGGCCTGGAAAGTCATGGGATTTCATTTCAGGTTATGGAAAGTCATGGAATTTGCAAATAAATAAGGATAAAAGAAAGTGTTTTTCTGTGCTGCATGCATTAACCAATTAATGCCAAGCGGCTCCATTTGGAACCATTGGAGAAAATGGATTCATAATAAAATTGAAGGATCAAATAAATATACAAGTGGATGCATAGGTTTGATACCTACACATTTTGTACATGTCCTGGCAAAGTTTGGTTCTGCTGCACTGACTACTCTCTTTTCAGTTAACATTCCAAGATTACTAGAACCAGGTCATGGAAAAATCATGCAATTTTTTTTCTAAATACCGGTATGCACCCTGCATGTCCGTCTGTCTGTCTGTCCGGCTGTGACTTCATGTTTTTGTCGACAAGAAAATGAGCTCTCTGTCACTCACTGCTGTCAGTACTGAGTTAAATTTTTTTCATTTATGCACCTGTAGGATCTCCTAGCATCTTCAAGCATTCATTAACAAAATGCATTCTGGCTATTTCTGGCACTCGTTAGAAAATAGTTTGCTAAATTCAAGTATAGGTATTAGGTCACATTTATTATATTGAAATGGTTCTAGTATTAAATGAAGGAGTATGTTAGACCCAAGCCACTAAATTTGAATAGTTTCTATTGCTTACCTACTAGCATAATTAAAATAGCACTCTGATGCACATGAGAATAGTATTGAAAAATTACATGGCTCCAATTAAAGTAATTATCCCAAAAAACATGTAAAAGAACTTGGCAAACTGGGATTTTTAATTTGCCTAATGCAACGAGACTGGAACTTAAGGAAGTGTTAGGACATCTTCAAGATATCATGATATGTTCAAACTGAACTGAACAACTCAGTTTTACAATGTTCAAACTGAAAATTTTGTATTTGAATTCATGAATTGGCAATATGTTAAAAATGGTGGAAATCTTATCTTATTTCTTTTGTATATGATTTGTTGAAAGTAATAGTTATTAAACTATGTGTTGAATTGAATTATGTTCCTAAAAATTCTTCTTGTATGCATGCTCATTAGATGTTTGTGTAACTGTATGAGCCTGTGTCAAGAAAATGCCATTGCCACTTTTACAAGTAATTATTAGTGTTTTACATCAAAATGTATACCTAGCATAGCAGTATTCTCTCTTTCATATAAACCTTCTGACCTTATGATGAGTTAAGAGTTTGCCTGCACTAACTAGGTATTTTAAAACGTGAAGTATCATTTCTTCCTTTTGCTGATTTGCTTCTAAGTAAATATGAAATGTTCTCATATAATTTCATCGGCAACAAGAAAACCTAATTCTTTTATTGTTTTTCTAGGGACGGTTTGTGTGTGGGGGCGAAAAGGCAGAAGAAAAGCGTCTCTTGTCAGAAATTTCGTCCCTGAAACGAAGTCTCCAAAGCATTAGCATGACCGACCAATTTCCTGACTGGGCAAAACTGCAAAGGCAAATAAATGCTGTCACTCAAAAATATCAAGCAATAGGTAAACAATTACGATTTCTTGTCAATCGAAAATGAGATGGATGTTATAAAATTGTGTAAACAGATGATAAAATGAGTTTGCATTCCTGAGGTTACACGTTTTGTTTAATATGTCATTCATGGAAATAAATTTTGAAACCTAACAATGGCCGAAATCAGTTCCATTTGGAAATGAATGCATGGAAAATTTATGTTTAGGGCAATTGATTTTGATGGACATTGATGTTCATGAGTGAATTTCATCCTGACCTAATAAAAATTTAGTTTGGGATTTTATACATGTATCTATTAAACTATCTACTTCTCAATTGGATATGATTAATCCCATAATAAATTTCTAAACTTCTTTTAATTTGAATTGTCAAAGTAACACGTTTTCTTAACAGCATCTCAACGGTACAAGCAGGAACAGATGATACGTAGAGTGTGCAGTGTGCTGGTGGATGTTGTCGTGCTCTTGTTCACGCTGTGGTACGTCTGGTACAGTCGTGGCTCTGCCGTCGCCGCCCTTCCCGCCCACCTGCTAACGCCCCTCGAAAATGTGCTCGCAATGCCTGCTTGTGAGCCCGGCCAGGTGAATTCAAATAACTGAGAGATGTTATACTAAATTACGACTGGGAAGTAATACGTAATAATATAATTACAAATAATTTTCCGTCACATAAGAATTGGCTGCCCAAATTCACGATCGTTGAAAGACTAACGAAGATCTTATATTTTTTACAATAGAGAAGTACGGTAATATTAATAACATAATTACGAAGAATTTTCCGTCACATGAGAAATAGTTGTCTAAATTCACGATCGTTGAAAGACTAGCGAAGATCTTATATTTTTTGAGAATACATCATGTAAAACATTCTTTTGGGACGCATTTAAACATTGAACGCCACTATCGCTTACTTGATTCATTCGTATGTAATTTCACTGCATGTATAGTTTTCATTTAATGATATTGTATTGTAACCGTTGATAGGTATCATTTAGGAGGCCTGCTATTTTATTCGCGTTCATGGTTTTCAAGTGCCAATTATACCTTAAGGATAAAAGAGGAAAAGGAATAAATAAAAGAAGAATATATAATAAAATATTGTGATATTTTGCCAGATCTCACACTTAAGCCTCAATGATAAAAGAGGAATACGAACAAATAAAAGAAGAATATATAATAAAATATTGTGATATTTTCCCAGATCTCACACTTAATCCTCAATGATAAAAGAGGAATAAGAATAAATGAGAGAAGAACATATAATAAAATGTTGTGATATTTTCCCAGATCTCACACTTAAGCCTCAATGATAAAAGAGGAATACGAATAAATAAAGGAAGCACATATAATAAGATATTGTGATATTTTCCCAGTTCTCACACTTAATCCTCAATGATAAAAGAGGAATAAGAATAAATAAAAGAAGAACATATAATAAAATTTGTGATATTTTGCCAGATCTCAGTGATGGTTTGGATGGCGTGTGTGAGGTCGCTGGTGTCACGCGTTGCTGTTTGTTTCTCAACGAAGGCTGCTACCGCTGCCGCTACTTGATCACAAGCAAGAGAAAGGAAGTTTATTTAACTCCATAATTGATATTAATTAATTTATTTGTTTCTCAACGAAGGCTGCTACTGCCGCCGCTACGGGACCGCAAGCAAGAGAAATTAAATTTATTTAACTCCATAATTGATATTAATTAATTTATTTGTTTCTCAACGAAGGCTGCTACTGACGCCGCTACTTGACCGCAAGCAAGGGAAAATTAATTTTATTTAACTCCATAATTGGTATTTATTAATTTAAATCAGTAATAAACTACCAACTTTTGCTGTTCTTGTATCACGTTACCACTTGCCTTAATTGCTTTTTATTCGTAAAATTAAATTTTTTTTTCAACGTTTAAATTTAAATTAATTAATTAATTTAAATTTAAATTTTAAATTGATTAATTAATAATCAATTTAAACTTGTTTTATAGTATTTTCAGTTTGTCCTTGAGATCATTTTCCCCCTTATAGGTACGCAGTTATTGTATTTATTGTTCTCAATAAATCAATGAAGTTGGTCTTCGAAGTTGATGAGTTAGTCATCCTCTGTTTATTTTTTAATAATTATTACCGAAATAGTGTAATTTTTTCTTTTAAATTTGTTGTATGACTGGCATCGGTGTAAATTTTCTTTTGAGCGACCAAATTGGCTAAAATGAGATAAATTTGTTCCTTTATCATATGCATTATCTCTGTAAGAATGGCTTTCTGGTTGTGTGAATTACATCGTATGCGAAAAACGTTTGTCCATTTCATTATCATAGCCAGGAAATACTGCAAAAAAGCATTTATTTTATAGTATTTTTAGGTGAGGAAAATAATTTTGTTATGTCAGAAATTTTACTTGAGAATCCTGGTAACTCATTTTTTGGACGCTTATGGTTAGAGTTCTGGTGGCAGCCTCATAGATGTACAGCTAAGTATATTTCATAAGCACAACTTAATCATTTCATTGCACTAACTAGCTGGCCGAGCGAAGCCGTGCTTATCTATACAACATTTAATGATATGAACGAGTAGATCTTTAGAGTCTCCCATTTAATCGTTGCATGATCATACGTTTTCCACCTTTTATTGCCTCATATGCTTGTAATATCTCTAATTTTATAACTGGATCGACAATTAGGAGGCTCTAGGTTAAAGCAATACTACTCGTACACAATATATCTGTAATTTTTACACATTATATCTGGAAGATTCGGATTCTCTCAAATAGTCCAAAGTTTTCTTGGACTTGGAAATTTTGATTCTCGGCAACGCAGACGATGAAAGTTTCCTGATAAAAAAGTTCGGTTTTGATTGAAGATAAAGATATGTGAATTCAAGATACGATATTTGAATTGAAGATGAGATATTTGATTGATGATTAAGCAATTTGGTTGAAAATAAAGATATTTGTGTTTGAGCTTGCTTTATAAATTAAGGCAACCAATGTCCAATTTATGTGCAGTAGCAAATCAGACAAAAATTCAGATGTATTTATATCTGGTCCTAGATCTGCGTAAATGTTATACGACACTTAATATATGAAGATCTATACACAAACGTTAATATTAATACAGTTAATACAGCCATAGAAACATCACTTATGAGCTAACATCAAATAATATTAAAGGATCAAGCTCCTCTTAGTCAAACATCAAGCCTCCGCTCTCGGCGCAGTAGATTATGTATATTATCGGTTCTGTCTGATGTACATAAAACGTTTAATTACTATTAAGTACAATTTTAGAGCGTACAATGAGTACTTTAATGCTCTATAATATTAATAATTGATTGGCATTGCTTACCAAAACCGACGGTCGATGAACGTTAAGAAATTATCAACAGAACATCTATGGCGCAGCTTGGGAACATTTTTTAACAAAAAATTTCTCCGAATTCCCTCTTGTGCAGCTTGAGAATAATGTTTGATGAAAATTTTCACAGAATTCTCTCTTGTGAAAGACATTTTAATGTGTACCGCTAAAACAATTAGGTAAGAATGGCATCTCTAGGAAGGTGACACGAGTGTTTATCTTGACTGTCCAGACGCAGCATTCAGAGGCTTGAATTGCCTACCTTGACTTCTTTAAGGAAACGTACAATCAAGGGAACGAATGTGTCATATGTCCATACACACTTTATGCGCGTAGCACTGATAGGCCCTTTCGCCAAGCCAAGATGGGTCAGGGTGACAAAAAAAAAAAAAAAAAATTTCAACGCTATTAGTACAAAGTGTCATAATTTATCTGAATGTAGTTCTTTTTGTTACGTTTTAGGTGTCACGACGCCTTGGACGCTGAAAGCTTTAACATTTGTTAACGCCAAAGCAGCACAAAATTATAAACATTTAAAGAAGGGAAAGTGCTTGATGTGCGTTAACATATAATTAGCAGTGCCCGCTTAAGATAGTCGCTATGAACATGACTTAGACTTAAGGTATTTAGCTCGCCCGTCTCTCACGTAGACTAGAAATTTCACTCAACCGAGCCGACAATCCCTCACACTGTTTCTTTTCGCATAAACATTAATATTTTTCATACAATTCTCGTTTGTTTCATTCCAACACAACGATATTTCGCCGTGTCAAAACTCAGCATAACATTCCGAGCCATCTGCTTCATTCAACACATAATTTTTATGTTATTTGTTGTTATTTCGACATGAACTCCATGCTACGCCACCAAAAAAGTTTACATAATTCCAAAAAAAACGTTTATTAATTCCAAGTACCACAACTTCCGTACCAATAAATGGACTCCACAAAGTTACCCCCTCGATATCGTCAAATCAGCGCCATACATTTCAAACATCAATAAATTCGTCATTACCTTCAATGCTTCATTATAATAGACTATCAACACTACATCTTCTGCCGCTAAAATCATCATATCCTAAGATGATCTCAACACCATACCATGCACTATATTCAAGAACACATATTTACCCTGTCATAATAAGCAATTTTTCTCTTAACATCCACACAGTTCGTGTCAACACTTTTGTGTGACATTTCGTGCCGCAACCAAGTCACCATCGCCACATTTCGTGTCACCAACATGGCAACATCACATTTCGTGTTACCAACAACGCGTTTCGTGTCACCAACATCGCGTTTCGTGTCACCAACGCCACATTTCGTGTCACCAATACCGCGTTTCGTGTCACCAACCCCGCTTTTCGTGTCACCAACCCCGCTTTTCGTGTCACCAACGCCACATTTCGTGTCACCAACACCGCGTTTCGTGTCATCAAGGCCTCTTTAAGATAAACTAACATGCGTTTTTCGCCGCAAGATTATCGCTAAAATATCACATTGAGGCTCAGGATGCCTTCACTTAAACCAAACCTTCGTCTACTGAACCAGAAACTTTGAGAGATGAAAAAATTGCTTCAGAAATGCCGCGTCCAGCTTTCTAATTAACTTGAGGAACATCTATCTTGGTTTCTTGGTCGTGAATAATACCTAATAAATATTATTACAGTGAATATTGTAATAAACTCCGAGGAAATGATAAGTAGCTTTAGAAAATGATTTTTGTGACAAATTCTCGCTGGTGACTAGTCGCTTAATTTGTTCAATCCGTTCATAAAGAATCGCTTTTAGCAATAATATTTCATCGCATTGAAGACCAATTACATATGAAATAGAGTTTAATTGATACTTGAAACTAATACTTGTCATTAAGGTTCGTTTGTCGGGCCACGCAATTGCTACATGTGACTCCCCGGAGCTGCCTAAATTTTAAATAATATCACCAAAAACAAAAAAAATTTGCAGTGAGTAGGTACCTAATTTAATGACCTATAATCGTATTAATTTTCATAAACCTATAGAGCGCAGGTGAAAGCTAAATGCAATACGTCTGGCAGCCACCGCGCGACGTCGACGGCGGACGACGAAGGCGGCGCATCAGCATGACCATGGACATGGAAGTCCTAAGCTTGACATAAGGACATGAAGGTCAAGCTTGAAGTCTTGCACTCGTAGGATTTCAAGTTTCCTCCTCCTCAGGCTTAAGGATCGCCTCGAAGGGATTAATGAGTTGCCAGTTCTTCTCCGCTGCAGCGCCCGTTATGTTGCCGCGTCGCGGGTCTGAATTGACATATGAACCAAAATTATCAAAAAATTTCCATTTTTAATTCACATTACGTAAATATAGTGACAATATTCTCAATCACCAAATGACATTTTTGCATTTTTAATTCACATTGCGTAAATATTTTGACAATATTCTCTGTTACCAAATGATAAGCGCCAATGTTCATTAAAATTTTCCATTTTTAATTCACATTAGGTAAATATAGTGACAATATTCTCAATTACGAAATGGCAAACACCAATATTCAATCTTTTTTATCTCCAATACGGTGATATTTTGGATATAAAGAGAACTTAATATTTGTTTGCGTGAGATAATTTAGACTATGAACCATTTATTAATGATTTAGTATTTATATATTTCATTGTAAGCGAGCACGCCTCTGTATCGTAGTTATTGAATTATATATTTAAACACAGAAATATAACGATAGTCAATTACACCGATAACAAAATCATGAGAAAAAGAATTAAATGAAATAAAGTACCAACAAACAATCAAGAAAATAAAAAAATAAACATTATTGAAAATAAACATGAGATATGAGTAAATAAAAACAAACATAGTGAATGAATCTTAGTTTATATAGAAATTATATTTCTTGTAATACAAATATATACAAAATTGAAGCATGGTAAAGTAAATAAATCTTAGGTTTACTATATAGAAATTATAGTTCTTCTACTATAAATAAATACCTAAATATGAGTAAATAAATCTTGCGTTTAAATGAAACTTATTTTTCTTGTGATAGAAATAAATACAAAATACGAGTAAATAAATCTTGCGTTTAAATGAAACTTATTTTTCTTGTGATAGAAATAAATACAAAATACGAGTATTTAAATGGATCTTAAATTTCTTATAATAGAAATAAATATAAAATATGAGTATTTAAATGGATCTTATATATCTTGTTATACTAATAAAAAAAATAAGACAGTAACACCCACGTTTGGGGTTAGGGTGGCGGGGGTGGGGGGGCGGCCCCCCCAGCAGGCAGGTCCGCCACTCGAGCGCAGTGATCGCTCGGTCGTCGTCAGCGTCGCACACCTTGTGGATGTGCCGACCACAGCGACGCAACCGCTCCATGCTGCAACCATAACGTGGTTGTATGGCAACCATGTTATGGTTGTGAGGGGCAAGCATGACATGGTTGTGGGGGGCAACCACATGGTTGTGAGGGCAACCACATGGTTGTGGGAGGCAACCATGACATGGTTGTGAGGGGCAACCACATGGTTGTGGGAGGCAACCATGACATGGTTGTGAGGGGCAACCACATGGTTGTGAGGGGCAACTACATGGTTGTGAGGGCAACCACATGNCATAACATGGTTGTGAGGGGCAAGCATGTTATGGTTGTGAGGGCAACCACAACATGGTTTTGTATGGCAACCATAACATGGTTTTTTGTGGCTAATAAGACTTGGTTTTGTATGGCAACTACGACATGGTTGTGCGGGCAACTACGACATGGTTATGAGTGGCAACCACAACATGGTTGAGAGGGGTAACCACAACATGGTTATGAGTGGCAACCACAACATGGTTATATAAGCGGTTTCAGCGTTTATTAGGCCGTAGGCCTGTCGCCGATTCTTAACATTGCAGAACATTCACAGCATTTTGCGGTCTCGAACTCGCAACTCACTGCTACAATTCTGCTGTGCTTAACCGCCCGGCCTCCTCGCCGATTCTGACCAGAAACTGGCGTACAGAGCTGGGATCGAACCCGCGCCTCTCTGCGCCAATCTTGGTACTCTGAACTGTAACCACTGGGCCACTTAACTTATAGGGGCAACCACAACGCGGTTATGAGGGCAAACACAACATGGTTATGAGGGCAAACACACCACTGTTACAGGCATAGAGGACAACCCACACGGTAACCACGCCACACCACTACACCACACCACATCACACCACCACACCACACCACTACACCACACCACACCACACCACCGGGTCGTCGTCGGACGTGACCGGGGACTAGGAAGTCCCGAACTCATTATAAGGTCATATGGTCACCACACGGTAACCACACCACACCACACCACACCACACCACACCACACCACACCACACCACACACCACACACCTCATGACTCGCTCCTTAAGCATCTTCTTCTCGCTGCGGTCTATTTTGTTGTTGTTGTTCGCGTCGAGCTCAGCGAACACCCGCCCCACCCCCGCCTCCCTCGCCTGCCCCCCACCCGCCCTGGGGGTATGGGGGTGAATGTTATTAACCCTGTCAACCTGTCAAGGTGTCCTGTCAACCCGTCAAGGGACCCTGTCAACCAGTCAAGGGACCCTGTCAACCCGCCAAGGGACCCTGTTGACCGTCAAAGACCCTGTCAACTGGTCAAGGGATTCTGTCAACTGGTCAAGGGACACTGTCAACTGGTCAAGGGACCCTGTCAACTGGTCAAGGGACCCTGTCAACTGGTCAAGGGACCCTGTCAACCCATTAAGGGAACCAGTCAAGGGACCTTGTTAACCTGTCAAGGGACTCTGTCAACCCGTCAAGGGACCCTGTCAACTCGACAAGGGACCCTGTCAACTCGACAAGGGACCCTGTCAACCAGTCAAGGGACCCTGTAAACTCGTCAGAACAATTGTAAAAAAAACATACAGTCTAGCTCTTGTGATACATAACAACGAGTTGCAAGAAGCGTTTTATACCACAATTTTATATTATATCACAAATAATATGAGCTAATGTTTCCATAAATACGGTAACATTAAAAAGTTATAATAATATATTATATTAATTATTTTTATTATTTAGAAGAACTCACCCCGCGCTGCCCAACAAATGGTCAAGTAGCGCGTCTAGGAACTCTCGCTCCTCTTGGGGTTGCCTGCAATCTGCAACCCAGAACAGGGTTGAACCCCAGGGGGGTTGAGTTAACAGGGGAGTCTGTTTGGCCACGTTGGGGTGTAATTAAGGGGTTAGGGGCACGAAAGGGTTGGACCCCAAAGGATCAAGGTTGGATCCAAAGGTTGGATCTTTGATCCAAAGGTTGGATCTTTGATCCAAAGGTTGGATCTTTGATCCAAAGGTTGGATCTTTGATCCAAAGGTTGGATCTTAGATCCAAAAGTTTGATCTTTGATCCAAAAGTTGGATCAAGGAGGTGGTCATTAACAGATGGATTCACAGTAATTCAAACTAAATATATTAATTAAAATTACACTGCCAGCTTGCTTGGTACAGATGTACATTTATGATGCACAAGCATGGAATTTCCACATTAAATTAAACGACATACAACATTTTCTGGCTCTTTGTTGTAGGAGATTATAAAGCACTGACAAATATATGCATTTACATTAGCAAAAACGTTGTGCCAATTAATACGCGAATACATCGACAATAAAGCTAAATGCATTCATGGAAAAGGTCAGCATGATTGAAAGATCGCGCCATGTTGACGATTCTTATATTTTTGGCCTGAATAGGGGTGTTGCTTCAAGTCGAATGATGGGTCTAAGGTATTATAGATAAAATAAATTCAGGCACATGTATCGAAAACATGCACTTCATATACTTTTATGTCGTGCCGAATCCGCGGAATTGCCGATTCTATGGAATCGGTAGCCAGTTGCCGAATCTGTATAGAATCAGCATTTCTATGCTTTAGGAATCCGTGATCAGGACAGTCAGCCAAGTTTTTTTTAAATATTTAAATATATAGGAACTTGACCGAACTTGACCTAACCTCTACTAACTCTAGCTGTCGATTTATGTTATAACTGTAACTTTAACGTCCGATTTTCTGAATCAGCAACATAATACAGATTCGGTAAACTGGCTGCTGATTTAAAAAATCGGCAATTCCGCGATTTCGAAACGACACATACCTACTACATATTAACACCTTTATACCGACACCACTACACCACTTAATGTACTCACGAGGCCATGGTTTAGTGGGGAGTATCATGCTGGTGCACTGTGGTACGCTGTTGTTGTGGGTGGTAGCTTGGAGTATCTTGCCGGTACGCACACTTACGCAGAAACAATACCCTGCAAGATACACATGCCAGGTGGTGGTGACGGTGGTGATGTAACAGCTCCCAGTGAAAATTTACAGACGCGTCAGCTTCTGATTTTGATTACCAGAAGCTGGGGTGACTCTAAATTTTGCTAGGGAGAGGGCGCAGCCGTTGGCCACAAATTCAACTCCTAATTAAGCCCTGGACTCAACGCCCAGCCACAGCATGCGATAACTGTACTCAAGCACAGAACTAGAAGCTGCAAAATTCGCTGGAACACCGTAATACAGACCAGAGACACACTGCTTAAGGATAATAACGGCAATACTTGAACTTGCTCGCTCAGAAGCAGGCAGTTCTGCAGACGGCTTGAACTATTCCGGCCTAACCTCTTCTGGCCCAACCTTTTTTGGCCCAACCTCTTCTGGCCTAACCCCTTCTGGCCTAACCCCTTCTGGCCTAACCTCTTCTGGCCCAACCCCTTCTGGCCCAACCTTTTTTGGCCCAACCTCTTCTGGCCTAACCTCTTCTGGCCTAACACCTTCTGGCCTAACCCCTTCTGGCCTAACCTCTTCTGGCCTAACCACTTCTGGCCTAACCTCTTCTGGCCAAATCTCTTCTGGCCTAAACTCTTCTGGCCTAGCCTCTTCTGGCCTCACCTCTTCTGGCCTCACCTCTTCTGGCCTCACCTCTTCTGGCCCAACCCCTTCTGGCCTAACCTCTTCTGGCCTAACCTATTCACGCTGTCCCAAGTCACAACCTTCTTGCAGCCAATGACTGGCTCTCCCTGCTCATTTGCCCCGCCCCTCTAACTTCCTGCAGTCAATGAGGTTAGGTTGAGTCCCTTCAGGTTCGTTTTGAGTGGAGAAATGTTGCAATGTGTGTAGGTTAGGCCAGAAGTGATTAGGCCGGAGTAAGTTTGGCCAGATGCAGTATGACCATGCTTACCTTTAGCAAGCTTAAGTTGTGGCTTTAGACATACGGCGCTGTGGCTTTAGAAACCAGAGTTCATAGGCTGTTATTCCCTCTAGCGTTTTTAACCACGGATAGAAATATGACTAAATTATGAAGTTGGACAAAGCCCAATGTTACGACAAGTGGCGGTGGTGGCAGCAATGAACCCAACATGTCGTTTCCCCCACTCCTGCCACTCACATGATGTCTCGGGCACTCCGAAGCACTGGTACCGGCGATACCGGCCGCGGTCATCACACTCCGGTACGAAGACGGTTCCGTTGCCGCTACTGCGCGCCTGGCGCTCCGCCTTGACGCGTTCATCCCGGCACGTCGCCCCCTGCCCCCCTGCAACGGTACCGCGCATACTGTTATTGTGTAACGGCACCTCCTGTTATTGTGTAACGGTACCGGCACCTTCTGTTGTTGTGTAACGGTACCGGCACCTGCTGTTATTGTGTAACGGTACCGGCACCTCCTGTTATTGTGTAACGGTACCGGCACCTGCTGTTATTGTGTAACGGTACCGGCACTTGCTGTTATTGTGGCACTGAAACTGTACCGGCAATTTTCATTTTTATTCGAAATCATCAAACAAGAAACTAAAATTTAGGTTTCAGCATTGAAAATTTTCGGGTCACAGCCTTTAATAAAAGTTAGATCTGGCGACTCCATTATAATTTATTCGACGCACAAGTCATTTAGACTAAGACTAAACCATCTCAAGCTTCTTCAAGCCAGGCTTCTGACGTTTTAAATCTTTCGTTTAAATTAATGATGATTTAAATGATTTGAAGTTGTCGTTCCAACGAAATCAACACGCAATCAACGTTATTCCATATGCATGGAGAAATAGAACTTAACTTATAGGATTTGTACAGCCATGCGTGACACAAAAGCAACTGAAGCTTCGCCTTTAGAGCGACACATAAATCTCGGTCATTAATTTCTAATAGAAAAAATTCTCTAAGCCATATTTACTCAATATACTAGTTTTTGTTTCGCTCTCAATCAAATTACATAAAATTGTATTCAATTCTTAACGCTTTTTTAAGGGGGGGTGGGGAGTGGTGGGGGTGGTGGAGGGTGGTGGGGGTGGTGGGGGTCCTACACCCCCGGCGGGTGCACTTGCGGGGGTTGGGGCGCGGGGTTGTGGTACCTGGGACACAAAATAAATAAAAATTAATTAATGATACGGCATAAATTAATGATACGGCATTAATTAATATTATTGTACTATTAATAGTACTTATTGCAGTGAGTGACAGAGAGCGCATTTTCTCGTCGACGAAAACTTGAGGTCACGGACGGACGGACGGGCGGACAGACGGACGGACACACGGGCGGACGGACGGACAGACGGACAGACAGACGGACGCACGGACAGACGGACGGACATGGCGAGCACAATAGCGCCTTTTTTTCAATAAATGAGAAAATGCGCTAAAAAAATGCACTGAAACAATTCCTGCATTTTGCACAGTGAAGACGATAATAATAATGAAAATAACCTCGACCTAATTTCAACCATTTATTTTGGTTGTTGTATTAGGTTTATTAATGATTAACCATAATTGGATAATTAAAGATGAACTTGACATGCTCAATTTAATTTAAGAATGAAGTATATGTGTTACAATATAAGGTATGTGCGAGGATTATAATTATAGATGAATGTGCATGAAGTTTTTGCAGATCATAAATAAAGAGTGTAGTTAAGGCCACATGAAAGGTTAAGTATTCAGAGAAAAAGATAAAGTTGACAAGAAAGTAAATCGGAAATTACCAATATGAAAAAATATCGCCTTTTTTCCATAAATGAAAAAAAATTAGAAGAGTAGTCTGCAATAAAAAATGAATTACTTAAACATATGACGTAAAATTAGGCAAATAGTGAGAAATAGGATTGTTAATAGGGTAATATTATCAAATAAATTTTAAAATGTTTAATGAATGATGCTTGAAACTGCATTTAACGCGGAGGGAGGGCTCTGCTTGCAAGCGCTTGTCCAAACAAAGTCGAGTGGTCGAACTGACGCTCTAAACACGCCCCTAAAACTCCCATAAACAAACTCGAGTGGCCGAACTGACGCTCTAAACACGCCCCTAAAACTCCCATAAACAAAGCGCTACCTTTTATCCAGCCAAAACATCACAAACTTGACTCATTTTCACACACAAATTTACTTTGATCCCACAATGAAAGCGGCAACTGGTCGAGGGAAAGTAAGGCGGAAAAATCCCATGATTTACACGTGGCATTTTTTTCCAGATGAAAAATTGTGCTAAAAACTTAATTGTTACCTTAAATAATCGCATGTTAATAATCGATTACTTTAAAAAGATGGCAAATAATGTGCAAATTGTTTGAAAATTTTCCGTAAATTTAGGTCATCATGACACTAATTTCTATTCGAAAAGATGGTAAATAACGTGGAAAATTGTTAGAAAAATTTTTTGTCGATACTAATTTCTAGAAATAATTTTCCAGATGAGAATTTTTCTAAATTTTTCAATGTTTGATTAAAAAAAACTCACAGCAGAAGAAAGAGTGTTTAACTGATTTTAATTCTAGGCAAGATAATGTTATATGTCAGCATGCAGCAAGATAATGTTATATGTCAGCATGCAGCAAGATAATGTTATATGTCAGCATGCAGCAAGATAATGTTATATGTCAGCATGCAGCAAGATAATGTTATATGTCAGCGTGCAGCAAGATAATGTTATATGTCAGCGTGCAGCAAGATAATGTTATACAGCGGCGTCCGGCAGACGTGGGGCTTGTATATCTGTGTCAGGATGTGTATACAGAGCTCATACACTCACACAGAAGCTTTTATCCTCATCCCGCTTGTGTACATTGTGTAAACACGAGACGTGTACAAAATTAATGTATTTTGCATTCATTGTAAATATACTAGAATTTATTTCCTTTAGATCAATCCCGAAACTTTTCTTTTACCGAGCTTCTCTAAATATTTTGATAATAACTGTATAGCTGGAGATGTCGAACGCTGAATATTGTATATAATGATGAAATATTCATCTCTGATGAACCTCTCTGAAGAATATAGCGATATATATGACGGGATATAATGAGATACTAGGAGAGATATAGCGAGATAAAATAATATAATATAAATAATTTTAATATAATAAAATAATATACAAGAATGTATCGAGATATATGGCAGGATATAGCGAGATATTAGGCGATATATAGCTAGATACAGGAATACGGCGAGATATATGGCAGGATATGGTGAGATATTAGGAGAGATATAGTGAGATACAATAATATGGCAGGATATAGTGAGATATATGGCGGATATAGCGAGACACAATAATATAGTGAGATATATGGCAGGATATAGTGAGATATATGGCGAGATATAGCGAGACACAATAATATAGTGAGATATATGGCAGGATATGGCGAGATATATGGTGGGATATAGTGAGATATATGGTGAGATATACGCCGTTAGTTACATCTAAGCCTAATATATGAATTCACAATGGTGATCATTATTGGTCAAATGAATTATCATCTATATATACATAATGCCTCCAAATTTTCTTAAATCAACACTATACAAATTGTGAATATTCAGATAAAATGCCTTGACGTTAGAAATTTCAAGGAATATTACGCAAAATATTGACGTTTTATTGTCTATTAGAAGTTTTAATTATTGTTTCTGTTACGCAGAATGTTATATTATAAACCACTTAGAATAATTTAGTATGACGAACCACTTAATTTATCCCTGAAGCTTCAATCGTATTAATACGACGATTAATGAGATAACTTGCAATAGAACTTAAAGCGAAGAATAATGAGATAACATATAATAGAATTTAAAGTTTAAACAAAATAAAAGCGTCTTATGAGCGGCTAAGATCAAAGTATTATTTATCATACATACCATTATTAATATATTATTATTCGATATAAAATCTTTATGCTCAACTACCATTACTACCATCATTATACTACCATTTCTACTACCATTATAATACCATTATACTCAACTACCATTACTACCATCATTATACTACCATTTCTACTACCATTATAATACCATTATACTCAACTACCATTACTACCATCATTATATTACCATTACATTACCATTATTTATCATACTTACCATTATTATAATATATTATTATTCAAGATAAAATTATTATACTCAACTATCATTACTACCATTATACTCCACTACCATTACTACCATCATTATATTATCGTTATATTACCATTACTTACCAGGAGGTTTACGAGCCACAGGTCCGGGCTGGATTGAAGCGCCTGGTGAACAAGAATACTTAATTAGTTATTCAGCCTCATTATGAGTGATGTGAGCAAGAGTGAGATGTTACTCAGCCTCATTATGAGTGATGTGAGCATAAGTGAGAATTTACTCAGCCTCATCTTTATGACTCATGATTTGTCCCTACTTATGCATGCGTTATCAGCCATTATTCATGGGTCATGAGTGAGAATCTACTCAGCAAATAATTTTGCTCATCTACATAATACCACACGTCCTAACCTATCCATATATCTTCAAACACATAACAAAGAAAGTACTGACGCCAGCACTGCTGCCACTCCAATAGTGACTGCACTATTAAACAATTAACTTCAATATCTCCTAACAGTGGTAATAATATATCAATAATATACCATCTACATAAAACCACACGTCCTACATTATTCATAAATCTTCAAAACATAATAAAGAATGTACTGACGCCAGCACTGCTGCCACTCGCGCCGCGACACGGCAGCGTCAGCGTCAGCGTCGCAGAGCAGCGGGAAGAGCTTGGCGCAGGCGCGGGGCTTGACGATGCGCCGCACGACGCGCCTGATGCCCCGGTACTCCCGCGCCGTCACGCGCCCGTCGCTGTTGACGTCAAGCGTGTTGAACTTCCACGTCAACGCCGCCGTCAGCTGGTCTGAACCTGGGGGGTTAGGGGGTGATTATGAGGGGTGATTATGGGGGGTGATTATGAGGGGTGACGACGCGCCTGATGCCCCGGTACTCCCGCGCCGTCACGCGCCCGTCGCTGTTGACGTCAAGCGTGTTGAACTTCCACGTCAGCGCCGCCGTCAGCTGGTCTGAGCCTGTGGGGTCAGGGGGTGATTATAAGGGGGTGATTATAGAGGGGGGGGGGTGATTAGAAGGCGACCGACGCTGTTGATGTCCAGGGTGTTGAACTTCCACGTCAGCGCCGCCGTCAGCTGGTCTGAACCTGGGGAATGGCTCGACTCTTGCAATGTTCACAGCTATTCTCATTCTCTGTAAGTATCCAGCTATTTACCGCTTTACGTGTGACATTTCATGTATGAATATATCCAGTTATTTCGTTCTTTGTATTTTCTATAGAAGTGTTATCTTGTTTCAGAATATTGCTTTCTTTTGGATTAAAGCTCTTAATGAGTCGCTTCGAGTTTGACTTACAACATTGAGGTGATAATAAGGCAGGGCTTGAGGTGATTATGACGCAGGGTTGGAGGTGATTATAAGGGAACGGTAGGGGTGATTATAAGGGAATTGTAGGGTTGACCATAAGGGCAGGGTTGAGGCGCTAAAGTTCATAATATTGCTTTCCATCAACATTTTTTGAAGAGGTTAACATCGACAAGTAAGAATTTCCATGTAAATTTTTAATTTAATCTCTGCTACCTATGTTCTGGTCTCACCGAATGAAAAATGAAAAACAATATCATTAGAAATAAACAAATTAAAATAATACCGCGAGAAGGGAAGCTAAGGAAACTATATTTTTAAAAATTTTAAATATTGAAAACAAAGGAAGTGATAAGAAAAGAAGTAAAGGCAATTGAAAGGTTAACAGTTTAAGCCAGCAGGAAAGTGAGAAGTGAATCGTGAAGAGAAAAAATCGAAAGATAAAGATATAAGATAATAAATTATTATTTCATATTGCAAGGAGTCGTACAAGATTCGAAAAGTCAACACGAGAATCAATTTAGACATAAATAAACAACGCATAAACCTATAAATAAACAAAGATAACACGTATATAGATAATAAATAAATTTATAAATAACCAAATATATGGCTATAGATAATAAATTTGTCTTTACATAACAAATAAATGAGTATAGATAATAAATATATGGGGACCTAAACACTTAGAAGGGATGTTAGAGATAGATGGGAAATGCTTGTAATTTCTTTATTTCCTAAACGACTTATGAAGAGGGTAATTAGTTCATATAAAGAAGGTGATCAGGAATTAGGGGATAAAGAATGGAAAAGAATTTAATTTACTTACGTTTTGCTTTTTTAGTTTTTTTACGCGACTGACGTGGAGACGAAGGCAGACGTTGATACTCGTCGAGGATGTGACGTGCGACGTTCTCGACGAAGATGAAACGTCGCGACTTGTGACATCCTCCTGCGCACACATAACATCGTCACAACATCTCCTGCGCACACATAACATCGTCACAACATCTCCTGCGCACACATAACATCGTCACAACATCTCCTGCGAACACATAACATCGTCACAACATCTCCTGCGAACACATAACATCGTCACAATATTGCGTGCCCGACGGAGAAAGGCTGCGTGCCCGACGGAGAAAGGCTGCGTGCCCGACGGAGAAAGACTGCGTGCCCGACAGAGAAAGGCTGCGTGCCCGACAAAGAAACTTAAGGCTGCGTGCCCGACGGAGAAAGGCTGCGGGCCCAACAAAGAAAGGCCGCGAGCCCGACGGAGAAAATCTGCGTGCCCGACGGAGAAACTTAAGGCAGCGTGCCCGACGGAGAAAGGCTGCGTGCCCGACAAAGAAAGGCCGCGAGCCCGACGGAGAAAATCTGCGTGCCTGACGGAGAAAGGCTGCGTGCCCGACGAAGAAAGGCTGCGTGCCCGACGGAGAAAGGCTGCGTGCCCGACGGAGAAAGGCTGCGTGCCCGACGGAGAAAGGCTGCGTGCCCGACAAAGAAAGTCTGCGTAAGGCTCATCAGCCTCAGGTTAATTAGCCTGACGCGAGTAAACTGTTGAGTCTGGCGGGCCCGCGGCTTCCGACTGATGCGTGAGTAAGACGAATTGGTGAGTGGGTAAATGAAGTTTATTCGAGCTGAGTTAGAGAGCTGAGTGATGAGTGAGTATAGACACACACTACCATGAAGGCGCCTCATCGTTTATACTCATGGGCCATTAGACCAGCCATCATTCATGGGTCATTAGACTAGCCATTATTCATGGGCTATTAGACCAGCCATTATTCATGGGTCACTAGACCCATTATTCATGGGTCATTAGACCAGCCATTATTCATGGGTTACTAGACCAGCCCTTATTCATGGGCCATTAGACCAGCCACAGCACGCAGCACACAGCAAGCAGCACACAGCACGCAGCACGCAGCACGCAGCACACAGCACGCAGCACACAGCACGCAGCAAGCAGCACACAGCACACAGCACACAGCACGCAGCAAGCAGCACACAGCACACAGCACACAGCACGCAGCACACAGCAAGCAGCACACAGCACACAGCACACAGCACGCAGCACACAGCAAGCAGCACACAGCACACAGCACGCAGCACACAGCACACAGCACACAGCACGCAGCACGCAGCATACAGCACGCAGCACGCAGCATACAGCACGCAGCACACAGCACGCAGCACACAGCACATGCCATGTAGGGGGTCGGCCGCTGGAATGAGTTATGCCGAGCATGGGCATGAGACATGAACGCCGCGACATGTATGGGCAGGATATTATTCTGGGCAGGATATTATTCTGGACAGGATATTATTCTGGGCAGGATATTATTCTTGGCAGGATATTATTCTGGGCAGGATATTATTCTGGGCAGGATATTATTCTGGGCAGGATATTATTCTGGGCAGGATATTTTTCTGGGCAATATATTATTCTGGGCAGGATATTATTCTAGAACAGGATATTATTCTCGGCAGGATATTATTCTGAACAGGATAACATTCTGGGCAGGATATTATTCTGGGCAGGATATTATTCTGGGCAGGATACTATTCTGGGCAGGATATTATCCTTGGCAGGATATTATTCTGGACAACCGAAAATTTTGTGGACATACAAATTTCCACAATTCCTAACCACGGACAACAGGATACTGTTCAGAGGATATTCTAGGATATTCTCGCAAATGTCCACGTGTGATGTCAGCGGCTAAATGTCCTCACCTAAAGAAAATCTAATTTCCAGCCTGGAAATTGCTGGAAATTGTCCCGAAACGCTAAAAATATTTTCAATTAAATATCAAATTATTCTTGGTTTAAATATTTAATTTAGTAAATAAATAACACTTATTATTTAACAATTATTTACTGTGATTACTTTAAATCGTTCAATTCTAGTAACTAATTCGATTAAATGACGTCGAGCGTTTTTTTTAATTTAAAATTTTCAACAAAAAAAAAACAGCCACTGAATACGTAATATTACTTGAGAAAATATTCAGTGTGCGCCATTTCCCTCCTATTTCCCTATTTTCCCTACTATTTCCCCATTTCCCTATCTTCCCTACTATTTCCCCATTTCCCTATTTTCCCTACTATTTCCCCATTTCCCTATTTTCCCTACTATTTCCCCATTTCCCTATTTTCCCTACTATTTCCCCATTTCCCTATTTCGTACACTGCTGGAAAAAAGAAGCAGGCGTATGCATGCAACAACAAAAGCACGTAAACAAGGCAGCGAAAACGCATTCATAATAAATAATGTATTGCTAGTGTGTACACAAGTTGTGTTTGTACAAATGTTGTGTGTACACAAGTTTTGCTTGTGTATACACAAACTTGCTTGTAAACACAAAGTTTTGCTTGTGTAAACTCGCGTTTACACAAGTAAACTTGTGTAAACATTTGTGTGTACACAAGTCTTGCGAACACAAGTTTAATGTCCATACAAGCTTTTTTGTGTTCAAAAGTTTCATGTGCACACAATTTACATGCACACACGTAATGTGTTAGTTACACTCAGGCGTTTGGAACAGCCTTAACATTCTCTCTAATCTTAAAGAGTTAATAGCAATAATCTGATAATCTTATCACAAACATTATGCAGAAAATGGGAACAGTTTAAAACCCTCACCTTTGGTAGAGCGGCGTGCCCGAAGGCATTACTTTGTATTAAATGTTGTATCAGATAGGGTCCGGAGGTGTAACTATTGTATGAACTGTTGTATTAAATAGTGCCCCAAGGTGTAACTATTGTATGAAGTTTTGTATTAAATAGTGACCGAAGGTGTAACTACATGTATTGTATGAACTGTTGTATTAGATAATGCCCGAAGGTGTAACTACATGTATTGTATGGATTGTTGTATTAAAAAGTGCCCGAACGTGGAACTATTGTATGAAGTGTTGTATGAAATACTGCCCGAAGGTGTAACTATTGTATGAAATGTTGTAATAAATAGTGCCGAAGGTGTAATTATTGAATGAACTGTTGTATTAGATAGTGCCCGAAAGTGTAACTATTGTATGAACTGTTGTATTTACTGCCCGAAGGTGTAACTATTGTATGAACTCTTGTATTAAATAGTGCCCGAAAGTGTAACTATTGTTTGAATTGGTGTATTGAATAGTGCTCGAACATATAACTATTATACTAAATTCTGCTAAACTGTACAAAACTTCTAAAAACTATTGAATTTTGCTAGTTTGTGCGCATTACGTAACGATAGAACGAATGCATTCCTACATCATTATTTCTAAAATAACAAGAATCTAGATTCTATGATTCATGATGAAAATGTACAGCTGAATGTTGTCAACATGCCATGTAAGATATTTGCTAAATCTGTCTAGTAATTTAAGAGAAGTAACATTTTATTGTACACTAAACACTTTATTGTACACTGCATGGAAGTAACACTTTATTGTACGCTACATGGGAGTAACACTTTATTGCACACTATACGGAAAAAACAAGTGTGTGAAATTGTGCATGTTTTTTCCCTACGTTCATTCACGCAATGTAATAATAAATTTCATTTCATAATTTCGCAATAAATAATTTCATTTTGTAGAAAAATTTATAATTTAATTATCAAGTGGACATTATAATTTAATTTTCCAGTGGAAATTCATAATTTAATTAAGTAAAAATGTATAATTTAGTTTCCAAGTGGAAATTATTATTTAATTTTCATGTTGGTATTTATAATTTAATTTTCAAGTGGAAATTTCTAATTTAATTTTCATTTTAAAATTTATAATTTAATTTTCAATTGAATATTCATAGTTTGATTTTAAAGTGGAAATGTATAATTTAATTTTCAAGTTTAAATCTAAAATTTAATTTTCCTATGGAAATTTATAACTCAATTTTCACGTGCAAATTAATAATTTATTTTCTAAAGGAAATAAATTAATCATTTACTTTTCAAGTGGAAATTCATAATTTGATTTTCCATAGGCTACTTATAGTTTAATTTTCAATAGGATATTTATATTTCAATTTGCTATTCAATTAATTAGGACATGAGGCATATTTTTTTTATTTTTATTATTATTATTTTTTTTTGAGGCGGACAAGCGGTTCTTAGAGGACTAACTAACACAACTAAGTATTAGCGTATAATCTACGTTCTTAGCATATAATCAATCCACTTAGCATATGATGTACCTTCTTAGCGTATAATCAATCATCTTGGCGTACAATCAACCAACTTACCATATAATCAACCCACTTAGTGTAAAATCAACCCACTTAGCACATAATCTACCTTCTTAGCGTATAATCAATCCACTCGGCATATAATCAACCAACTTACCATATATTCAACCCAATTATCGATTAATCGACCCACCTATGATATAATCAACCCACTTATGATATAATCAACCCACTCATGGTATAATCAACCCACTTATGGTATAATCAACCCACTTATGATATAATCAACCCACTCATGGTATAATCAACCCACTTATGGTATAATCAACCCACTTATGGCATAATCAACCCACTTACGGTATAATCAACTCACTTATGATATAATCAACCCACTTATGGTATAATCAACCCACTTATGATATAATCAACCCACTTATGGTATNCAGGGTGGGGGTCCTGGGGGGCGGTGGCCGGCCTCCTCTGCAGCGCTGGGGGGAGGGGGTGGAGCATGCACGTACACGTGCATTAACGTACATGCACGTACACACACGTGCATAAACGTACATGCACGTACACACACGTGCATAAACGTACATACACATACACGTATTTGCACTCTAATTACCCTCTCTTATTAACCCTCTCGTATCTCTACTAACATTCTCCTTGAAAAGTTTTTTTTTTATAGTGTCCACTAACGTAAGTTTTCATAAGTTTCAATATAACCTAAGAACAATAATTATTTCTCCTTCATATAATCTTCATGTAAATATTTCATAAACGAATATTAGAATCTATACTTAAATTCCCCAAATTAGCCCTCAGCAACGATGGTCTATTGTAATGCTTTTGGTCAGGGCAATGGTCTGGCTGATGGTCAGGGCAGTGGTCTGGCTGATGGTCAGGGCAATGGTCTGGCTGATTGCTGTGTCAGGGGGTCAGATAATTAATTGGTCAGGCAGGTGGTCAGATAATTAATTGGTCAGGCAGGTGGTCAGATAAATAATTGGTCAGGCAGATGGTCAGACAAGTAATTGGTCAGGCAGTTGGTCAGATAATTAATTGGTCAGGCAGGCGGTCAAATAATTAATTGGTCAGGCAGATAGTCAGATAATTAATTGGTCAGGCAGATGGTCAGATAAATAAATTGGTCAGGCAAACGGCTGACCGGAAGTGACCGTTACGCGTCAACCGCCATTAACGATTTTCTATTAATTTTCAATGGTCACAGAAATGTTAAATCCGGCCGTGCATAACGCGCCTATAACCCATGACTACCGAACTCTACCATCACCTTAACTACTCAGAGAATATATGGTTTATCTACCACTACCTAATCTAGATAGAATCTAGGTAGAATCTAGGTAGAATCTAGGTAGAATCTAGGTAGAATCTAGGTAAAATCTAGGTAGAATCTAGGTAGAATCTAGGTCTAATCTAGGTAGAATCTAGGTAAAATCTAGGTAGAATCTAGGTAGAATCTAGGTCTAATCTAGGTAGAATCTAGGTAGAATCTAGGTAGAATCTAGGTAGAATTCCTACCTATCTACCTACGTAATCTAGGTAGAATTCCTACCTATCTACCTACGTAATCTAGGTAGAATTCCTACCTATCTACCTACGTAATCTAGGTAGAATTCCTAGAGAATAAGTAGATGAAATTACCCACTGAAAAATATTAAATACTTCACACATATTGTATTATTCACTCAATAGAGACGAATAAATTAAAGATGTGTTAGTACAAATTAATTATAAATCTTTGCAATCTTCAAAGCCATTTTTCATGCGATTGAATATGCGATCAAAAATTTGTGCTTTTCTTTGTTGAAAATCATTGGTGGTTTATAGGCGGCCAATTAAATTTTTTCAATAGCATGCAACTCCTTCACAAACAGTTTTCCGCCAGCATTTCAAAATTTACAGACATTTTACAAATATTTATTGAATTTGAAAACCCACTGAAACGGTTCTAATTTTGCAAAAAATATAGGATTGTGTACAAAGTAAGAACATAAAGAGATTAATAAAAACGAAAGCAAATTATTATTTCAACTGTTAAATGCAAACAAAATTAAAATAATACAAAAACTCAACAAAAAAACACCAAATCAGAGGAAAATATTTTTTTTTTTCAGCTGAGAGCTGCTTTCGTTCGTCCCGTCACATCACAAAAATATCCATAGCCTTTTTGCAGTGCAAAAAATACAAGTTTTTTTGGATTGTAATATATTATAGATATGTCTTCGTCCAATATATCATTGAATGCATACAACGATGCCTACGTATGACCGCAGATTGCATTTTTCACACCCATTTTTATTAATAAACTATTATCTATTAAATATAAAAATTTCCATCACTTCATATGTATATTAAAAAAATATAACTCGGTACTCACTGCAGTGAGTGACAGAGAGTGCATTTTCTCGTCGACGAAAACTTGAGGTCACGGACGGACAGACAGACGGACGGACAGACGGACGGACAGACCTGACAGACGGACGGGCGGACAGACGGACAGACGGACATGGCGAGCACAATAGTACATTTTATCCATAAATGAGAAAATGCGCTAAAATCACTGCTTATGACACGAAATTATTATTTTATATATCTTTTCGTGCTTTCTCAACATACATATATGAATATTTAAAACATACATATTTGAATATTATGAAGGGAAGAGCAAATTTATTTAAAAATAGTTCTCTGGAAAAAATCAAACTTGTTTAATAAACAAATTCTGCCGTTCAGTACTAATAAATATTTAATTATATATTATATTATATTACATACTACCAATATTATTACATAATAATATTAATTATATATCATACTATATCTTGTATGGTGTTGCACAAACACACTTATAAATATTAGGTTTTCACTTAAAACACCTATATAATTATAAGTTTCCACACAAAACACATGTATACAGTATACTTATACAGTTTTCACACAAAACACCTGTATAAATTATACAGTTTCACACAAAATACATGTATACTTATAAGTTTCACACAAAACACTTGTATAATTATAAGCTTTCACAAAAAACACCTATATAAATAAATTTTAATTTTTAAATACCTACAAACAAACAAATAATTAATATTATAAATAATTAATTAATAAATTATTTATAATAATTTTTCACACAAAACACTCATTCCAACACATTCACACAACATATCACCTGCATGAGCAGCAGCGGTGCAGTTCAGGTCCTTGATGCGCGCGCCGTTAGCGGACCCCCCCACCAGGGTGCCATCGGGCAGGACACACCAGCAGTACCCGGTGTCCGTGTGGCACTGTAGAGGCTCGAACAGCCCGCTGGCCTGGCACTCTGGCACATACACGCCCTTGGCACCCGCTGCTAACTCCTGCTGTGCCGCCCGCTGCTTGTCCCAGCACTTCTCTGTAGCTGTAGAGGGAGGGTAGGAGTGAGGGTAAGAGTGAGGGTAGAGGCTCGAACAGCCCGCTGGCCTGGCACTCTGGCACATACACGCCCTTGGCACCCGCTGCCAGCTCCTGCTGCGCCGCCCTCTGCTTGTCCCAGCACTTCTCTGTAGCTGTAGAGGGTAAGAGTGAGGGTAAGAGCGAGGGTAGAGGCTCGAACAGCCCGCTGGCCTGGCACTCTGGCACATACACGCCCTTGGCACCCGCTGCCAGCTCCTGCTGCGCCGCCCGCTGCTTGTCCCAGCACTTCTCTGTTGCTGTAGAGGGTAGGAGTGAGGGTAGGAGTGAGGGTAGGAGTGAGGGTAGAGGCTCGAACAGCCCGCTGGCCTGGCACTCTGGCACATACACGCCCTTGGCACCTGCTGCCAGCTCCTGCTGTGCCGCCCGCTGCTTGTCCCAGCACTTCTCTGTTGCTGTGGAGGGTAGGAGTGAGGGTAAGGGTAGGAGTGAGGGTAAGGGTGAGGGTAGAGGCTCGAACAGCCCGCTGGCCTGGCACTCTGGCACATACACGCCCTTGGCACCCGCAGCCAGCTCCTGCTGTGCCGCACGCTGCTTGTCCCAGCACTTCTCTGTAGCTGTAGAGGGTAGGAGGGGTGAGTGTGAGGGTAGGAGTGAGGGTAGGGGTGAGGGTAAGAGTGAGGGTAAGAGTGAGGGTAAGAGTGAGGGTAAGAGTGAGGGTAGGAGTGAGGGTAGGAGTGAGGGTAGGAGTGAGGGTAGGAGTGAGGCTAGGAGTGAGGGTAGGAGTGATATGCCCGCTGGTTGTTGTCTTGTCCCAGCACTTCTCTGCCGCTGTTGGAGGGTAGGGAGAGTTGAGTATGTGGGTAGGGGTGAGGGTAGGGAGGGGTGAGTATGAGGGATGGACTGAGGGTAGGTGCGAGGGTAGGAGTGAAATGTCCCCTGGTTGTTGTCTTGTTCCAGCACTTCTCTGCCGCTGAAGCAGCAGAAGTTAAGGCAGTTGGAAGGCACTACGTCACCGCCAGCAATAGCGGCGCACATTAATCTTCTAACGCAGGCACACGTCAAGCACACGACGCACACACAACATTCCTGCCCACCTGGACCTATACTTTCAAAACCCGCTAAGTGAACGTAAGTACTTATGCTCTATTTTCTTGTCTATGATTGGTGGATTTTGCTTGAAAGGCCGTCAATGATTAAGATCTCTTTACTTTTTTTTGAAATTTTATGCCCTGGATATGGCCCCTCACCTAGACACGGCCCCTCGTGCTTGAAGCTCACGGTCCCTCACTTAGACACGGCCCCTCACCTAGACACGGCCCCTCGTGCTTGAGGCTCACGGCCCCTCACCTAGACACGGCCCCTCACCTAGACACGGCCCCTCGTGCTTGAGGCTCACGGCCCCTCCCTGGCACACGACGGAGCGTAGATGGCACAGGTTCAGGTAGCACCTCACCTAGACACGGCCCCTCACCTAGACACGGCCCCTCACCTAGACACGGCACCTCACCTAGACACGGCCCCTCGTGCTTGAGGCTCACGGCCCCGCACACGGCAGAGCGCAGGTGGCACAGGTTCAGGTAGCACCTCACCTAGACACGGCCCCTCACCTAGACACGGCACCTCACCTAGACACGGCCCCTCGTGCTTGAGGCTCACGGCACCCCCCTGGCACACGACGGAGCGCAGATGGCACAGGTTCAGGTAGGTGTTGCCGTTGGTGCCGCAGACCTGCGGTCCCTCGCTCGAGTTGTAGCGACCGCCGCGACATGCGTCCATGAGCCGGCAGTCCTGAGCTAGCGCCCCAAGATCCTGTAGGATGCAAGGGAGGTCATGATGTTAATTATTTAATAAAATAGGTAATTGAGACAATAATAAAGCGGCAGTCCTGTGCTAGCGCTCCCAGGTCCTGTAGGACACAAAGGGAGGTCATGATGTTAATTATTTATTAAAGGATTTAGGTAATTGAGAGAATAATCAAGCGGCAGTCCTGAGCTAGTGCCCGAGGTCCTGCAGGATGCAAGGGAGGTTATTATGTTAATTATTTAATAAAAAAGTTAATTGAGAAAATAATCAAGCGGCAATCCTGCGGGATACAAGAGAGGTTATTATGTTAATCATTTAATAAAATAGTTAATTGAGAGAATAATCAAGCGGAAGTCCTGAGCTAGCGCCCCGAGATCCTGCAGGATACAGTTAAGGGAGGTTATTATGTTGATTATTTAATAAAGGAGATAATTAATTGAGAGAATAATCAGGCGGTAGTCCTGCAGGATACAAGGGAGGTCATGATGTTAATTATTTAATAAAATAGTTAATTGAGAGGATAATCAAGCGGCCATCTTGCTCCTGCCCCTCCATGCAGGTCCTGCGATGTAAAAAGTCGTTCATGATGTTAATTACTTGATAAAATAGTTAATTAGATATTAGGTAATAAATGAAAATAGGCACAAGGGCAGCTGCCCTCATTTTCTTCACTCCCACAGGTCCTGGAGAACACTAGAGCATTCATGTAGTTAATTACTAACTTAGTGATAATTAATTCGTCCACGTAAGTTCTCGGTCTTAAAGAATCTTGGCTGGCGTACGGTATTACCTTCAAATATTTATATTTAGTTACGAACAATAGTGTGCAAGGCAGACCCCCCTTACAATAATGTTCACAAATTTCGCAGGAATGACCAAGAATTATTGTGAATGTTCAGAGACTTTGAGGCAGAATAGAAGCAACACGTGAGCATGGATCCACGCACGACGTGTGCGTGGTCACGCACGGCCGCGCATGCCACGAATTCCGACGTGCTCGGTCACCGTGTAGGGTCACCGTGTAGGGTCACCGTGTAGGGTCACCGTGTA